CAAGGCGGCTACGCTAGGGGCGACGCGGCCGCGGAGCCAGCAGGGCGGCTAGGCGCTGGGCGACGGGGCGACAGGACCACGAACGGCTGGGCGCTAGGTGACGAGGCCGCGGGGCCAGCGGGGCGGCTAGGCGCTGGGTGACGGGGCGACGAGGCCACGGGTGGCTAGGAGCTAGGTGACGAGGCCGCGGGGGCTAGGCGCCAGGGAACAGGGCTGTGGGGCCAGCAAGGCAACGGGGCAGCGGGGCCCGTGGGGCGGCTAGGCGCTAAGCAACGGGGCAGGTTAGGACCTAAGACGGAAGCGCGGGTGGGCGGGGGGGACCTAACCTACTCATGATACCATCTCAGAGTTAGAAGTGTTAACTAGTATGAGAGTATACAGGGGTATATAGCTAGTGGGTTGTACTCTCTATGGCAAGCCCCTATATTGTCTACTAAACATACACAGATATGCTTGACATACAGCAGAAGAATTCGACCATCTTCGACGGCTAAGATTAAAAGCGATCGTTTCGACGTTTTTTGGCCCTTGATTTCAGTTCGACCTCAAGACCTCGTCAGGCCGGCGTAATCATTACGCTCGTCACAGGGCTGAAGAGTTACAGTCACATCGGGGATTACTTTTAATGATTGTTCGGCCTCGATGAAGGGAGTGCCTTCCTTTAGAAGGTGGGAGAGTGTAAGGAATTCTGATTCCTTCTTGGGGCTCGCTGTAAGGAATTACGATTCCTTACTGGGGCTCGCCACGGGGAGTACCGCGAACAGTGCGCCTCCGCAGGCTCGGCCCTTGGTTATCGCTCCAAACCAGCCCCCGTCGACATTTTCGGCCCCAACCTGACCCCAAGTCGCCCCAAACCCCTTTTGACCCCGTCACCCTCGGGACTATCAAGCCCTTTACTGATCCAACCCTCGACATTTCAACCTGGTCAACTTGCATCTTATAAGCCCTAGGCCTCATTATTCAGGAACATTCTGTAATCACGTTCCCCTTATGGTATTCTGCGCTATACAATGAGTTATAATTCATAACAGCTGGTATCAGAACTATGTTCCTGCCCATTAGGCTTCCGGTAGGGGAGCAGACCCTATCGAGGAAGGGGGCGGAAGGATTCTGATGGCGAGCGGACGTTCTCGAAATTAATTGCGCGGGCGTTGCCGATGCTGTCAGATCCTGTCCGATGGACGGCTGGGATTGGCCGGTCCTCCCCTTCCCTGGTCGTAGACGGAATTATTTCCTGTCGAAGAGTGGACGACGTTTTCGCCGTGTTTTTCGGGTATGTTCGTTAGAGCTTTCGTAATTTACGGGTGTTTGGACGGAGTCTTCGGATTGGCTTCCAAAAAAAACGAAGGCTTCGTCATGAGGAGACAAGTGCACGGGAGTCCCCAGGCGGCCGGGAGTTGGTCGTCAGGAGCGCACGGGGTGGCGAAAATGGCGGGATGTACGGCGATGTACGTTTGGCACACCATGCAGCGGCAGGGTGAATTGTAGCTGTGTCGCGGGTCCCGGCGTTTCTGACAGACTAGTTGCAGGCGATGGACGGGACTTCGACACTATTTCGGCAATGGGCGGATCCGACAAATTCGGAACGACACCGTCGCACGAAGTTGTCTGGGTGTACAGTTGTGTGAGAGCAGCTGGGATTAACGACCTCGGCGCTATACACTACGACGGCCATCTGGAGGTGATGGCGCTGAGCAGGAGTGAGTGTACTCAGCGAGGGCGACTTCCCGCGTGGGGGGGCGTTTTTCGTGGACCAGCGATTCATACCCCGACGATCAACGGAAACGGAGGCCACCACCCCTGGGTGTGTATTAAGTGTTTTCCACCAGTTGCCGAATGCGTTAACTGTCCGGAGTTGAAGCAGCGGGAGAAGAACGACGGGAGTACTGGAGCAGATGGGTTAGCGGCGTTCGGGCTGCTACTCGCTTAGCTACGTCATCTTAAAATCACCATTCCCACCAGATAGCAGTGTCGACTTATTAATCGACAGCTTCTGGATGAATAAGGGGGATGAACCTGCAAACTACACTGCTGATGGAGTGTCCCCGAAAATTGAGGAGTTACTGTTGCAGTGGAGCTGAGGGAGTTTACTTGGTGCAGTAGAAGGAGGTTCCGACTTTTGTGGGTGTAGTTTGACGAGTTTCCGACGGAGGAGGGAGCTGTCCAACGGTCAGTAGGCGAGCTTGTAAAAGCTCCTCTGACTAGAAGCATGCGCACTCCTATCTCTGCGGATTCTCCTAGTTAGTTAAGCAGCAGCAACGCGGTTTTGGGTAACCTACAGCAGGCGCACGATAGGTGAACGTCTGCACGGCCAGCTGGACAGGGGTGCCGGAGTATTTTAGTGTTGGGTAACAGCTGGGCAGAGATCGACGGCGTATGATGCGCATTGACCCTGATCGACGGCCAAAAATCATGCCGAGGCGGTGGACTCCGGTAAACCCTAAGATTAAGGGTTCAGTTCATGCGTACAGCTGGTGGAGAAACCGTGGGGGCGCTGCTAAAGGACGCCGTGACGCCTGGGCATATTTACGGTTAGTTGTGAAGCGGAGTTATGGTATTCGCTAAGTACTGAGTGGTTCCGACATTTTCGGTGAGTTTGAGGAGCAGTTCCAGAGTTTACAGCTGGAGTTGTGCCCGCTATCTTCAGGGGTACGAGCGACATCGACCGACATTTGCAGGGTGTTTTGGTTGTACGGAGCAGAGGGAGAGCATTAGCAGTTTCGGCTCTTCCCGAAATTTTCGGCATGTACGGACAAAGAAGCTGATGCAGCTGGCGTCATTTGAAATCGGGTTCTGTTCGAGGATATTCACAGGAGTGGTTCGGTACAGGTTACAGGTCATCGCCATCGTCGTCAGCCTCTCGCCACCACCCGCTACCACCTCAATTCTCAATTCGCCCGACAGTGTTAACACGACCCCGCCGCATCATCGTCACCCATCAGGAGCAGTATCAGATTTACAGGAAATTTAGGAACAGTACTTTGCAGACTTTCAAGACCATTGGAGTGGTTTACCCTGCGGAGGCATTTCACGTTTGGAGCATCTTTGGGCATTATAGCGGTTGGAGTTTTGCAGCGGCATCCTGGAAGCTGAGTTATGGGATTTTCAGCGGCAGTGTGGGATTATTTTGACGTCCCTGGAGCATTGGGTTTTCTGGAGTTTTACCTGGGACATTGGAAGTTGTTTTCTTTTTGGAGGGGGGAGAAGGGCAGCTGTGCTGCAATTTTCCGACGACTTTTCCGGCGTGTTCCATTAACCATTCTCGATCAACATTCGTCATCGTTACGCTTCCGCGCCTGATTTCGTCAATTCGTTGATGGAGTTCACTGACTTTCGTGTGACACGGACGCATGTGACTCGAAGGACCTCGCGTTTGATGAACGGGTTCTTCATTTTCATCGATCGTCACGTTATTCGTCCGTCTTCGTTTCAAGAAATTCAACCGCCATGCGCCATCATCAATCGACCACTCGACGGGTTCACTGTTCATTGTCTTCCGCTAGAGTATTTACCCTTGCCCGTTTTGGTCACCAGAAGAATTCGACCATCTTCGACGACCTAGATTAAAAGCGATCGTTTCGACGATTTCTGACCATCGATTTCAGTTCGACCTCAAGACCTCGTCAAGCTGGCGTAATCATTACGCTCGTCACAGGGCTGACGACTTACTGTCACTTCGGGGATGAACTTAGATAAAAGGTTCGACCTCGATAAAGGGAGGGCTTTCCTTTAGAAGGTGGGAGAGTGTAAGGAATTACGATTCCTTACTGGGGCTCGCCACAGGGAGTACCGCGAACAGTGCGCGTCCGCAGGCTCGGCCCTTGGTTATCGTGCCAAACCAGCCCCCGTCGACCTTTTCGGCCCCAACCTGACCCCGAGTCGCCCCGAACCTGTTTTGACCCCGTCACCCTCGGGACTATCGAGCCCTTGACTGGTCCAACCCTCGACATTTCAACCTGGTCAACTCGCACTATATAAGCCCTAGACCTCATTATTCAGGAACGTTCTGTAATCACGTTCCCTTTATAGTATTCTGCGCTATACTCTAAGGTATGATTCATAACACTCGCCACAACGAGTACATGCGAACCTCTCGGGTCCGCAGGCTCGGCCCTTTTCACGTGCCAAACCAACCCCCGTCGACCTTTTCGGCCCCAACCTCATCCCGAGTCGCCCCAAACCCAATTTGACCCCGTCACCCTTGGAACTACCGAGCCCTTGACTGGTCCAACCCTCGATATTCAACCTGGTTTACTTGCCCTATATATTGTCTAGGCCTCATTTCTATCAACATTCTGTACAACATTGTAGTCACGCTCCCCTATAGTATTCTGCGCTTTATAATTCATAACACCTACGGGCGATGCTCTGTTTGTACCCCACCCCATCGGCACTGTTCACGCACTGTAGAGCTCGGTTAGTGCCGAAGGAATTGCGTGATGCTATCAGGTTTTGCGATTTCGCCATAATCCTGTCTTCGCCAGAGGAACTTTGTCGAAATTGTTTTCAACCCGTTTTTTTGGCACTGTTTTCATGGTCAGTATTCATGGTTTCCAACCATTCTAGACTCAGGCTTTAAACTTGACTGTCTTGACTTCTGGTCCGCTCGGGCACAAATACAATAACGAGTAGGTTTGGTCACGGAACTTCTTTCCAGCCTGGGAGATCGTTGCCCGTGTCTCCTCCCGTGCCGGTTTGTGATGTGCCATTGAACAGCCCCGGGGAGGCATTCACGTTTTGGGCGATGTACACAGGTGATAGCAGTGCAGCACGAGTTCTGCTCGTTTACGCGCGTTTTGACTGGCTGATGAAGTTTTCTGTCCGGTGCAGTGCGGTGAAGACTCAACCTCCTCCGGGGTGCGGAGGCAGTCAGTAGTGGGGAAATGCTCAAGGCCTGATTCCACCGATCTAAAATCTTGCATTATGCGCAGCACTCCTGCGCACTGCGGCCTGCGCCAGTCGAATATGTGCTCCAGTTTCTTAGTTTGCCGCATTCCAGTCGTCGAGAAGTGCTGCAGGCAGCCGAATCTCGACAACGCCGCTGCTGGTGGTGTGGTTAGAACAACATACGACGGCAGCATTCCGCACGATTCAGAAAATCGCCCATGCTAGTGTTTGGAGGAGTTCTCATTTGCACCCGCGACGTGGCTTTCCCTGTTTTAAGTCAGAGGCTCGTTAGCGCCGGTCGGATGGGTGTGGCTGCGCTGCCGTCGCTGATGAATCGACGAAGGGAGTAGGCCATTTAGAACGTCGCCAGACGAGTTACCTGGTAAGGAAGTTTCGAGACGTTTAAAACGTCCAGGCAGAATCTAAGAAGTCTCAGAACGACTTCATCATTATTATTCGACAGTTAGAGCCGCGTCTGACGGATCGCAATCTTTCCTTCGAACAGATTTTTATTCTCCGCATTCAAAATATTGAGCGTGGCAAAATCCATATTATTTCACCGCACAGAATGACCGACACGTCGCATCTTACAGCGCGCACAGCTGCACTTGCGTCCTTGCCATGCCGCCACACCAGTCTCGAAAACAATCTACCAGGGCGACCGCGTCGCATGCGGTCGCACGGCCAGTCGCATGTGCGACAGGGGGCGCGCGATCGGTTCGTTAGAGTTCGCGTGTCTGGCGACGGCCAAGCGACTTCGTCTAGTCGCGGCGGCACCACAGCCACAGGTCGAGCGCAGACATCCACTGACGCAGCCGTCGAAACATCAGTAGCAGCATCTGCACCTGTAGCTTCCGGATCAGCAGGGTCAGCATCCGGGGAGGCCGTTTTAGCAGCAACCCCGACGTCCGTCGGTCCGCGCTCTCACCTCTCGCCGCGTGAACGGCCGTCAGAATCCCATTCGCCGTCAGAATACCATTCGCCGTCAGATTTCCCCGCTCTCCCCTTCTCGCCGTACCTGCGCCTCCAGTGGCGCCTGCTGCAGCAGCAGCCGCTCTTCACCCACCTGCCGCTGCCCGCTGATCTGGCCTCCAGACAGGGCGCCGGGAGAGGCGCGCGCAGGGGAGACGGGGGGAGAGATGCGCGCAAAGGAGACGGGGGGAGGGGAGACGTGAGGGGGGGTGGGAAAGGAGGTGGAGGGCGAGGGGAGGGTGAGGGTGCAAGAGAGCGTGAGGAGCGGGGAGAGAGGGCTGGACAGGAGGTGGAGGATACGCCACGTGTAACGAACTGGTTGGTGGAAACATCTGCGCTGCGCCGTGTGCGGCTGTCGTATGTGGACTATGGGGAGAGGGTGCAGGCGCTTAACACGCTCTGCTACCCTCGCTTCAGGTAAGGAGGCGTGGTTTCACTTCATCACGCGATTATGGGAGGCAGATGGTGCAGGCGCGCAACACACTCTGCTACCCGCACTTCAGATATGGGAGGGAGGGAGGGGAGGAGAGGGGGGGGGGGCTATTTCCCTGTGCATGCTCCCTGTCTCATAACCCTTCGTCCACGGTCCATCTCTCACCCCCACCTCCCCCAGTTGCGACCCCCTCCTGCTTGAAGTGGAGCTGCTCTGCTTCACCTCCTCCCCTTTTGTGCCTCACACCCAACCCCTCCCACCTTATACTGCCTGCACACGCGCTGCCTCTTGCTCCCTTCCCCACCCTCCCACCAGCTGCGACCTCCCTCTGCTAGCAGTGGAGCTGCTCTGTTTCAACTCAGCGCCTCCCATCATGCGCCTCACATTCACGCTGCCGGTTTCCCTTGGGCATCCACTCCACACCACTCCTTCACATGCTGCCTGTTCGTTCCCCACCCCACCTCTCCCAGTTGCGACCTCCCCCTGCTGGCAGTGGAGCTGCTGTGCTTCAACTCCTCCCGCCTGCTCGCCTTCATCGACTTGCAGCCCTCCTCGCCGCAGCAGCTAGAGCGGCTCAAGGAGGGGCGCCTTCTGCCTGTGAGTGTCTAGTTTCGCATGGGATAGGCAAGTTCTAGACTGTTTCCCATGTGAGTGTCTAGTTTCGCATGCTCCCATGCTCCCATGCTCCCATGCTCCCCATGCTCCCATGTTCCCATGTTCCCATGCTCCCATGTTCCCATGCTCCCATGCTCCCATGCTCCCATGCTCCCATGCTCCCATGCTCCCCCGCTTGCAGCCAGCTGTCTCTTCCCCCCTAACAAGTCCACCTGCTCCGTCTGCAGCTGGCAGTTGCCGACAGTTTGAGCTCTATCGGGGGCCAGCCCAGCAAGGCCGCCTGCCTTTTGAGTCGACTCTAACGTCTCCCAGCAAGCCCACCTGCTGAGGCCCATGAGCGCGCTCTTCTTTGCCTCTGACACGTGCTTCTGTCTTTGCATCTGCTTCTCATCCCCATGTTTCCACCTAGCAGTTGCCGTCGGTTTGAGCGCCAACAGGTTTTTTCATGCGCACCTGCTGCTGCCTGCTAAGCGCGCGCATCTTCGCCTCTGACTCATTTCTCATTTCTCTTGCTCTCCCATGTTGCCCCCTGCGCAGCCAGCAGTCACTGCCCGCCTGTAGGCCATCAGGTCCCGCCACGCGCCCATGCTGACGCCCGTGAGGCCGCGCTTCTTGGCCTCTGACTCGTGCTCCTTCTCTTTCACTGCTGCTCTGCTCTCCATGCCGCCCATGTTGCCCGCTTGCAGCCAGCAGTCAGTGCCCGTTTAAACGCCATCCGCTCGCAGCACGCCCACCTGCTAACCCCCATGAGTGCACGCTTCTTTGCGTCTGACTCGTGCTTCTTCTCGCCGCACCTGCTGCTGTACCGCTCACAAGAGGGGTGTGAGGATGCCAACATGCAGGTAGGGTGCGGCAATCTTGTATGGTTCTCCCAGTCATGTGACTCTTCTCGCCGCACCTGCTGCTGTACCACTCACAAGAGGGGTAACATGCAGGTAGGGAGGGCACTGGCATGCAGGTAAGCCCAGCAGCTGGGTGCTGCTTTGATCCAATCCAATCCAAGTGCGTCCACTCCTCCTTTCGCTTCGTCTTGCGGCACCTGCTGCTGTACTGCTTGCAGCAGGGGTTTGAGAGAATGCCAGCATGCAGGTGAGTCCAGGATGGGGTGATGCCAGCATGCAAGTGAGGTGCAGCAGTCTTGTAGGATGGTTTCAGTATGGTGTAGGCAGCATCCAAGTCCATTGCCGCTTCTTCTCACCCCACGTGCTACCTCTGCCTCTCGCACTAGGGGTGAGGGTATGACTTGGTCCTTGCACCCCTCGTGCCTCTCACACCAGGGGTAGGTTGATTCTGAGGCGCAGGTAGGGTGCTGGTATGGCTCGGTCCTTGTACCTGTGGCTCTCCTCCCTCCTGCCCGCCTTCCTCCTTCCCTTCTCACTCCTTCCCTTCTCACTCCTTCCCTTCTCACTCCTTCCCTTCTCACTCCTTCCCTTCTCAATCCTTCCCTTCTCACTCCTTCCCTTCTCAATCCTTCCCTTCTCATTCCTTCCGATTTCCCTCCTTGCGTTCTTCTCCTTTTCTTCTCCAGGAGTACCTCGCAGCCTACCACACGGCCTGCATGGCATGCCAGGGTCTCTGACTCCTCCTCCCCTTCCTTCTTCCTGTATCCCTCTGCCGTTCTCCCTTCTCCCTTCTCCCCTGCATCAGCCCCCCACGGGCAGCATGTGGCACCTCTTCACCGAGTACCTCGCAGCGTACCACGAGGCGTGCATGGCATGTGGGGGTGCAGCAGGGCGGACAGAGGCTGATGGCGGGGCGGCAGTGGAGGGGCAGCGTGCAGCTGAGGACCGCTACATGGCAGCAGTGGAGGGGCAGAGGGCGTTCGATGCGTACTTTGAGGAGAACGACCCTGCTGTCAAGATGCTCAATCAGTTCTTCGGCCACCAGGTGAGGCGGTGAGGAGGTCAGGAGGTGAGGTGGTGAGGAGGTGAGGAGGTGAGGCGGTGAGGAGGTGAGGAGGTGAGGAAGTGAGGCGGTGAGGAGGTGAGAAGGTGAGGTGGTTGGGAGGAGGTAAGCTGAGCGGGCCATATCCATGCCATCACATGGGCATATCCATGCCATCACATGGGCATATCCATGCCATCACATGGGCATATCCATGCCAGAACATGTGCATATCCATGCCATAACATGTGCATATCTATGTCATCCATAGGCATGTGAGACACTATCAGGTACGTTTCACATGCCATCCGTTCCCTGCATGGCAATGCCAGGGCACTTCCATTTCGTGCCATCCATTGTTAACAATGGATAGCACGAACAATGGGGCATGGAACAACAAAGCCTCATGCTCAGGCGTCCCAGGTCTCCCCACGTCCCCTTCCCCCCTTTTTCCCCCGCCATTGGGCACAAGCCTACACCAGCCTCTTCCTCCCCCCCCACTCGTCCGCTGTTCTCGCGTTGGTCCGCTCGTTTCACTGTCCATGTCCTTGCCCTTTGCACTCCTCTTTTTCCCCCCCCCCCTCCCTTCCTCCCTCCTCCCCCCCCACTTCCTCCCTCCTTCCCCCCTTCCCCCGCCAGTGGGCGCAAGCCTGCATCAACCTCTCTTTCCTCCCATTTTCACATTCACATTCACACTCAACCGTTTCTTGTTTTCTTCTCCCATGTTCACATTCACATCCCATGTGCACATTCACATCCATGTTCACATTCACATCCCATGTGCACATTCACATCCATGTTCACATTCACATCCCATGTGCACATTCACATCCATGTTCACATTCCCAGTCAACCGTTCTCTCTACTCTCCATGTCCCCATCCCCTCCGCCCCTCCCTCCGTCCCCCCAGTGGGCGCAGGCTTACACCAACCGCTTCCTCTTCCCCCTTGCTGCGCCTCGCCGCTCCACCGCACCCCCCTCCTCCCCTCCCTCCCTCCACTATGAATCCGCTAGTCCCTTCCTTCCCTCACCCCCTCATGGCTCCTAGCATATGCCAGCTAGCCAAGGAACGTCCGCTGAGAGCACTACAGCCCGGGGGTAAAATAGCACAGGCGGAAACCACTTGAATTTATCAGCGTTGGAAACAGCGAAGTATGGAATGGTGCACTGACGCTCTGAAAGGGCCGTCGCATCGGCTAGAGCAACCAGCATCTTGCGAATGGAGCCTTGAATCCAGCAGCCAAATGGCTCACTGTAGGGCTACCCGGTTTCCCCCTGCATGCTTTGCACTGTCCATACCCCTTACTACATACAGAAACCTGTGTCCACTACATTACTATGCACATGAAGCCCCTTGAATAAGTTAGAGCGTGTTCCTACAGACCTCAAATCAGACTAACCCTTATCAGACTTGTGCGTAACTGTGCAGTGGGACTTTGACGCGAGTTAGTTCAATGCGGTGTAGAGCGATGCGAGGTGCGAAACTCTTATCACTCAGGCGAATTTGTCAAGATACACACTGGGGTTGCCCTTGGTCCTCGGGGAAGGGTCACAGGTGCAGAGCCTGGGGGGTTATGGGCGCACTTACCCGCTACTTAACAAGCCCTTTTTGTCAAACATGTGTATTTGTCATGTTTGTATAGACTGTATAGGGTAGCCTCTTAGAGGGTACAACACTTAGGTATATCTGTGTGTACTCTCACTCTACCATCATTCACTTCACTAATTCTGATATGGTATCACGCGTAGGTTAGGATCCCCCCCACCTACCGCTTCCGCTCCCCCCCTAGCCCCGTCGCGACCCCCCCTAGCCCCGTCGCGCCCTTCCTGGGTCCCGTCGCACCCCTCCTGGGCCCCGTCGCGCCCCTCCTAGGCCCCGTAGCGCCCCTTCTGGGCCCCGTCGCGCCCCTCCTAGGCCCCGTAGCGCCCCTCCTGGGCCCCGTCGCGCCCCTCCTGGGCTTCGTCGCGCCCCTCCTGGGCCCCGTCGCGCCCCTCCTGGGCTCCGTAGCGCCCCTCCTGGGCCCCGTCGCGCCCCTCCTGGGCTCCGTAGCGCCCCTCCTGGGCCCCGTCGCGCCCCTCCTGGGCTCCGTAGCGCCCCTCCTGGGCCCCGTCGCGCCCCTCCTGGGCCCCGTAGCGCCCCTCCTGGGCCCCGTCGCGCCCTTCCTGGGCCCCGTAGCGCCCCTCCTGGGCCCCGTAGTGCCCCTCCTGGGTCCCGTCGCGCCCCTCCTGGGCCCCTCCTGGGCCCTGTCGTGCCCCTCCTGGGCCCTGTACCGCCCCTCCTGGGCCCCGTAACGCCCCTCCTGGGCCGCGTCGAGCCCCCTCCTGGGCCCCGTCACGCCTTCCGGCCCCGTCGCACCCGCCCGGCCCCGTCGCCCCAGCCCGGCCCCGTCGCGCCCGCCCGGCCCCGTCGCACCCGCCCGGCCCCGTCGCCCCCTGCCCGGCCCCGTCGCAGCCGCCCGGCCCCGTCGCACCCGTCCGGCCCCGCCGCGCCCGCCCAGCCCCGGTGTGCCCCTCCTTGGCCTCGTCGCGCCCCTCCTGGGCCACCGTCCTGCTCGCCCGGCCCCGTCGCACCGGCCCGGCCCCGTCACCCGCCCGGCCCCGTCGCACCAGCCCGGCCCCGTCGCGCCCGCCCGGCCCCGTCGCACCAGCCCAGCCCCGACGCGCCCGCCCGGCCCCGTCGCACCAGCCCGGCCCCGTCGCGCCCGCCCGGCCCCGTCGCACCCGCCCGGCCCCGTTGCACCGGCCCGGCCCCTGCGCTCGTCTCTGCCCCGGCCCCGGTCCTCCTCACTGGTACGGTTCTCCCCCCCCCCCGCCCTGCACTGCCCTGCACCGTACTGCCCCGCACTGCACCGCCCCGCACCACACTGTACTGCCTGGCACCGCACTGCACCGCACTGTACCGTACAGCACCGCACTCCACCTTGCTACACTGCCCTGCACCGCACTGCACTGTACCTGATGGCGGCGGAGCTTCGCTTCGACGCTGAAAGCCAGCCTCTGGAGTTCGAGGCGTGGCTTGTTGACCTCCGCCGCCAACTCACTGGCCAGCGGCAGGATGGTGAGCCGCTTTCCGCACACCTTGACGGTACGCTCCCCTGCCCAGACCCCCCTGCTATTTTGCCCGCTGACTCCACCCCCACTGAGCGCGAGTCTACTGCTGCCACTACCCGTGCGCGCTCTGTCTGGCTTTCTCGCGATGCTGTTGCCCAGCTTGCCATTAGCAACGCCCTTCCCCCGTCCGAGCGCCCTCGCTTTAGGTCCCTCACTACTGCTCAGGCATACTTAGATGCTGTCATCAAGCGCTATTCCACCCCTCCGGCTGCCTCGGTGGGTCGCTTGATCCTCCCGATGCTCTTTCCTGACCTTGCATCTTTCCCCACTGTCTCTGACCTCGCTGCCCACCTGCGCTCGATAGATGAGACCTGGCGCGCTGCCTGCACTAACGCACAGCTTAGAGCCCACCAGCCGCCCATTACCTCTACCCTTTATCTGCTTGCCACCCGCCTCCCTGACCGCCTTGCTGTCGCCCGCGACCGCTTCCTTAGCGTTCACCCCGCAGACCTCACCCTCACTGACTTTGTCGACACCCTGACTGTGATAGAGACACGTCACCGCTCCATCGCCCAGTTGAGCGGTGTCGTGCCGGTCCCTATCTTTCAGGGTTGTGCCCCCGCTCCGTGTACCTTCTCCGACGGCTCTGCTGCAGTGGCTGAGACTGCTGCTGCAGCGCAGTTTCGTTCGGGGAAGGGCCGCCGCCCCAAGGTTGGGCGCGGCGGAGGCGGCGGCAGGGGTGCGGGAGGGGGTAGTGGTGGGGTCGGGTCGTCTGGTGCTGGAGCTGACGAGGGGACCCTGCCCAGTCCAGCTGAGCCGCCGCCCCTGCAGTTGCAGCAGCCGCAGCACCCGCCGCAGTCGCAGCCTTCGCAGCAGCCGCAGCAGCCGTCGCAGCCGCGGCCGACGAGTGTCCTCCCGCCCGGGTGGCCCGGCGCTGGCGGTGGCCGAGCGCGTGGTGGTGTGCTGAGTGGTGGCTCTGGCGGCGGGCGTTGTCAGTACCAGATCCAGACCGGTCCTCGCCGCGGCTTCGTTTGTGGTAAGATCGGTCACTCCACTCCCCGCTATTTTCGTCGCCTGGACGACCTCTTTCGTCAGCGCTTCGGCCCGTCGCCAGACCTCCCGGACTGGCACAGTTTGCTTAGTCGTAAGATTCAGATCTTTGATATGGAAATGGATGCCATTGTTTCTGCTCTGCATGTGATGTATACTGATGACTCTAGTGTGCTTCCCGCTTATTACTCACTGTTGCCTAGTGTAGGTGTGCCTAGCTTAGCCTCCCCTGCTGCGTCAGGCGTAGGATCCCCTGCTTTGTGTAGTCTTGGTGCTTCCGCCGTCGTTCCGTCGCCAGACGCCTCTGCTTCGCTTTCCTTCACCTTGGACTCTGGCGCCTCTCGGTGTTTCTTCCGCGACTCCACCACCCTGACGCCGCTTCCTGTTCCTGCTGCCGTTTCTCTTGCTGACCCCTCTGGTGGTCCGGTAGTCGCCCACAGTTCCACCACCCTCCCCTGTCCGGCGGTTCCTTCGGGCTCTCTCACAGGTCTGCATATCCCCTCGTTCTCCAGGAACCTAGTTGGTGTCGGCTGCCTCCAGGACCTTGGCGTCACCACTACGTTCCCTGGTCACGAGCGGTATGCTGTCTGTACCGAGGCCGCCACTGGTGCCCCCCTGTCCACGTTCCCCCGGGACCCGGTGTCCGGCCTGTTCACCCTGGACACCGTGACCCCCCCGGCTGGGGCGTCCCTTCAGGTGGCTGCGTCTACCCAGGTTGCTGCTGCCTGCTCCTGTCGGTCCCTCACTCACCCGACCCTCCTTTGGCACCACCGCCTAGGTCACCCTGCGCTCCCGCGTCTGCGTCACATGTCCCAGCACGGTCTTGTCCTTGGTCTCCCAGGTTCTCTCCCCGCGTTTCCCTCCTCCCCCGCCCCCCCTTGCACGCCTTGTGTCGAGGGTCGGCTTCGCCGTGCCCCTCACTCCTCCTCGTTTCCCCCTACCGCCGCGCCGCTGCAGACCCTGCACCTGGACGTCTGGGGCCCCGCCCCCGTCCCTGGGCCGCGTCGAGAGCGCTACTTCCTTGTGCTTGTCGACGACTTCACTCGTTACACCACAGTCTTTCCCCTGGAGCGCAAGGCCGACGTGCCTGGCGCTCTCATCCCCTGGCTTGTCTCTGCGCGTGTCCACCGCGGTCTCCCTGTCTTGCGTCTTCACTCAGACCGTGGTGGCGAGTTTGCCTCAGGTGTCCTTGGTCGCTTTTGTAGTGCGGAGGGCATCACCCAGACGTTCATCCTACCGGACTCCCCACAGCAGAATGGGGTCGCTGAGCGACGCATCGGTTTGGTCATGGAGGTGGCTCGCACCTCCATGATCCATGCCGGTGCACCCCATTTTCTGTGGCCGTTCGCTGTGCGCTACGCTTCTCACCAGCTTAACTTGTGGCCGCACCCTCAGCAGCCGCAGGTTTCACCGACCCGTCTTTGGACTGGGTCTCCTGGTGACGCGTCTGCGTTCCACGTCTGGGGCTGCCTTGCTCACGTTCGTGCCTCCGGCACGGACAAGCTCACTGCCCGCACCCTTCCCTGCGTCTTCCTCGGTTTTCCCCTTGACGCGTCCGACTGGCACTTTTACCACCCGCCGTCTCACCGCTTCTTTCACTCTCGTGACGTCACCTTTGACGAGTCCGTCCCCTACTACCATCGCTTCCCCCACCGTGGTCCCCCGGTTACCCCCCCCCTGTTCCTGGTCACTCCTTCCCCGGTAGTCCCTGCCCCTCCTCCTCCTCCTCCCCGTCCCGCCCCCTCTGGTGTGTCCCACGTCACCCCCCTTCCGTCGGTGGACCCGGTTGAGGAGTCTTCTGACTCTGGAGGCCCTCCTGTTCAGTCCGCGCCGGTCGCCCCTCCCGTGGCGTCCTCTCCCCAGTCCCCTCCTCCACCGCCTCTGCCGCCGCTGCAGCCGTCGTTGTCGCTGCCGCCGCCGCCGTTGTCGCAGCACCCGTTCGCTGACTCTGGGGGTGCTCGTCCCGGTAGCCCTGGGGGTGGTCCCTCTGGGGGTGCTGGTGTGGAGAGTGCCGGTGGTAGCCGAGGAGCAGCTTGCGGTCCAGGTGTCGCCGTTGTGCCGCCGCAGCAGCAGTCCCCGCCGGTGTCAACCCTTCGCCTGCTCGGCCTTCTGTCCCCCGACCTTGCGTCGGTCCCTCCCCGACCGTCTCCTCCTCTTCCTGTCTACGGCCCTGTTTTCCCTCCGCCGGACTCGTCCCCGGCCCGTCTCCCCCCTCGTTCCCCTCCTGTGTCCCCTCCTCTGTCTCCTGACCCGACTCCTTGGTCGCACGTCTGGTCTTACCGTCCCTCCCGTGCTCGTCCTGCCTCGCCTGTCTTGCGCTCCCACCCTATGTTGCTTCGTTCCCACGCGTCTCGTCCTCCCCTTCTGCCGTCGCCTCCTCCGTCCTCCCTTGTTGTTGCACCCCCCCCGCTGTCTGACTACCTTCGTGCCGCTCGTCCTCTTGTTCCTCGGGTCCTTGCCTCTCTCGTTACCGACCCGTCTGTTCCGGTCTCGTGCCTTGACGCTCTTGTCGCTGCT